AAGCATTTGCTGCATGAATGAGTGAGTAAATGAATAAATAAATAAATACATACATACATAAATACATAAATAAATAAAGGAATACCCAGACTCAATATCCCTGATTTACAGCATCTGCTCTAATCAAACTGGTCCTTTATTGTTTCAGAAAAGCATTTTTCTCATTTTTGTCTCCCTGCTTTCTTTCCTTTGTGTTTCCACTCTTACATAAAATGTCTCTTTTTTTTTTTTTTTTTTTGCCTTGTCAAGTTGTATTCGTTCTTCAAGATCCTGCTTAGTCTAAACTCACCTTAAGACCAGGCCTCCCATATCCACTTCCATCTACTCTAATTTCCTGTTTCTCTGAACTGTCACTGCATTTGAAAGTCTGAACCACACAAAACTAGTGTATTTGATTATACACATTCTTGAATTGCTCACTAATCATTTCTGGGGTGATGAGCCTAACTTGCCAATTAGATGTTAATGCAATAAGAGAAGGATTTATTTTGTATACTTCTTTGTGCACCCCCTCTAAAATATAGCATGATGCAAAGTACTGATTACAGACATTCAAACCTTTCAATTCTGGAGGGCTGTCAATCTCTGCATGCAGTTACCAGAGGAATATAAAAACTCTCTTTTCCTGGAAATTATATATGTGGGTGAATTATCCTTGAGATTTAGTCAAGAGCCCTCTACTACTAAAGTGGTTTAATCAGAAATGTGAGAAACAGAAAGGTCCTAACTGGAATTTTAGAGACGTGGGTGACTAAACATATTACTTCCACAAAAATATTTGACAGGAGTGACTTTGTCTTAACAGGAGATTAATTCTACTATTTACTTTATTGTACTTATTCTACATGAAGCCAGAATTGTTTGCTACCCCTTGTTGTTTAATATGTCCCAAAGGATCTTTGATCCCAGTTTCTCGTACTATCTATACATTTATTAATTCATTTAACATATATTTACTGAAGGCAGTCTCAGCTCTGCAGCTCTGAGTGCACCCACCACTGCCACCACCACCACCATCGCCACCATGCCTAACTTCACCATCACCTGGAACATGCACAGAAATGAGAACTTTGAAGAGCTCCTCAAGGCCCTGGGTGTGAATACCATGCTGAGGAAGGTGGCCGTGGAGGCAGCATCCAAGCCACACATGGAGATCCTCCAGGACTGTCTTGAACTGTCTACATCAAGACATCCACTATGGTGCACACCACCAAAATCAACTTCAGGGTCTGAGAAGGCTTTGCAGAGGAGACTGTGGATGGATGCAAGTACAGGAGTTTGGCCACTTGGGAGAATGAAAACAAGATCCACTGCACACAAACTCTCCTCCAGGGGGATGGCCCCAAAACCCACTGGCTCCATGAGCTGGCCAACGATGAGCTTATACTGTCATTCGGTGCCAATGATGTGGTCTGCACAAGAATTTATGTGCAGGAGTGAAGGTGGTCGTCTTGTTCCTGCTTTGGGGGTATGATGCATGTCCCCCCCCACCCAGAGGAATGTATTAGGTCTGAGGTGCCAGTGGGCATCCCCTCCCTTGCTGTTGGCATTAGGCGACCAGTTTCCCCATGCCCATGTGGTAGAGCTTCCATGAGGCCTTTGGGCTGTGTCCCTGGCTCCCTAGTTTAGCATCTGCACAGTATCATAATTAAACTTATTGGAAACATAAAAAAAAACCCAAACCAACAACACATATTTACTGAAAATCTAAAGAGATAAGAGATTATAATGGCTAGTCTAGATGCCAGAACCAAAATGCCTGCAAAGTCATTTGGTATGACTGCAAAGTACTTACTATCTCTATGCCATCTGTAGATGGGGGTGATAAACATAATACTTTCCTGATAAATCTGTATGAAAATAATTAGTATTTATAAAGTACTGAGAACAGTGCTTCACACACTATAAGTGCTACATAATTTTTTTAGCCACAGTTGTAATTATTACTACATACCAAGTGTCCATAGAAATACCTCTCCTGTCTTTCCCGTATTCAGTTTCTTTCATTCTTTAAAGTGTTCTGTGGGGGCAGTTCCTCTAGAAGGCCCACTCAGAATAAACATACATTCCCAGGAACTTAGGTTACTCTATCAGATGTACTATTTGACAACTTTGTGGGGTTTTTTTGATGGAATGAGAAACAGAACAGGAAAATTTTGATGCTGGCCATTGCATACAATTTAGACTGGGGATAAGGAAACCTAGGTTTTAGTACTCACCTTGCCATTTTTCTCTTGTCCCTTGTGTGATACTGGACAACTCTTTCAGCCTTCCTAAATTTTCATTGACCCATCTTTAATATTAGTAGTTTTCATATGTTTATTATTTATTTTATATATTGACAAATGGATAAACAATTCTGGTATATCCATGCAATGAAATATCAATCGATCATAAAAAGGAATAAAATACAACATGGATGAACCTTGAGAACATTATGCAAAAAAAAGTCAGTCGCAAGAGATGGCATATTATATAATTCCATTTACACGAAGTGTCAAGAACAGGGAAACTTATGGAGATGGAAAGTAGACTAGTGGTAGTCTAGGGCTAGGGGATATGCTGGGGCAGGAAGGGGCATGGTGGTTAACAGTTTCTTTTGGGGGTAATGAAAATGTTCTTGCCCTGACTGGTGTAGCTCAGTGGATTGAGTGCGGGTTGTGAAACAAAGGGTCGCCAGTTTGAATCAGTCAGGGCACATGCCTGGGTTGTGGGCCAGGTCCCCTATCCCCAGTAAGGGGTGCAAGAGATGCTACCACACATTGATATCCCTCTCCCTCTCTATCTCCTTCCTTTCCCCTCTCTCTAAAATAAATAAATAAGTAAATAAATAAACAAACAAATAAATAAATAAATAAATAAATAAAATCTTAAAAAAGAGAAAATGTTCTGAAGTTGATTGTGGTGGTGGTCACACATATCTGTGACTATACTAAAAGCTATTGAATTGTATACTTAAAATGGTTGAATGGTATGGTATGTGAACTATATCTTAATAATGCCATTTAAAAAAAAATTTGTACACCAACATTCATAGCCGCATTGTTCATAATAGCCAAAAAGTGGAAGCAACCCAAATATTCATCAACTGGAAAATGGATTTTAAAATCATATAGTTATTACAATGGAATATTATGCAGCCATAAAAAGGAACGAATTAGTGATTCCTGCTACCACACAAATAAATCTACCTCTAAAACATGCTAAATTAAAGAAGCCAGATACCAAAAAAAAACCAAAACCCTACATATTGTATGATTTTGCTTCTATGGTATGTCCAAAAGAGGCAAATCTGTGGAAAAACGTTGATTAAAGGTTGCTAGGGGATGCGGGTAGGAGGAAATTGGGATTAGCTATTAACAAGTATGGGGGTGATGAAAATGTTCTGGAGTAAGATAGTGGTGATGGTTTTACACAACAATATGAATATATTAGAAACCACTGCATTTTACATTTTAAAATGATAGTTTTTATGTGAATTAATCTTAACTTTTAAAATTTCCCAGAAAGGCTATAGAAGAGTAAATCCTGATTTAATGGCAGTCAAAAAAAAAAAAAAAGGCACTTGGTGAGTTAGTCAAAAGAACCAAATAAAATAGTGGGTTTTTTTTTTTTTAGAAGCTTGGAGGAGAGTCTTAAAGATAAAATAGTCAAAATCATCAAAGTTCCCACATTTGGATACCATTCGCAGGCATCTTTTTTATTATAATTTGGCTTGTTCTGTACATTTTTAAAAAGAGAACATTTACTGACAATAGTTTTCAGGTTTTCTCGGCCATTATATTTTTTTCATGGAAAAAAAGAATGAATTGATTTAGAATTTTGAGTTGGTTTATAAATGTTTTCTAGTCATCCCACTGAAGCATAACTGAACCTCCCCCTCCTACTTTTAGTTACAATGTGGAGGCTCTTGACACTCCAAACACCCAGAGAATCTGAGATAAATTTATTACGCAAGGGGCCCTGGGAAAGGAGGGGATCCAAACAGCTCTGGACTGGCTTAAGAGAGAGGAAGAGGGAGTGTGTTGCAACTTTATAGTCTCTAGACTACACTGACAACAAAGGAGAAAGAAAGCTCTGGGCTTTCTTATCAGCCTGCCAAGAAGTGGGGAGCTATCTAGAAATGCTCCAAGATTTTGCAACTTTTAACTTTCCGTGTTTGTTATTTTGATTACTTGCTGTTTTTTCTTGTAAAGCTTATTTTCAAGGCCAGTAGCAAAAGAAAGTTCAGATGAGAAAGAAAAACTAACTCAAATAGTATTGGTAGGATTCAGTGACTGACCGAACTTGCATGTGTGTCAAGGAACTATTATGGCAAGGTTTTAAGTCTGGGTAACTCTTGAGAGAATGACCACTACTACCACAGAACTTGTAAGGAAAATTGTGAGAAGAAACTTTCTTTACCACTCAAATTTAATGCTTAGAAAATGTTTGCGCAAGCAGTATCTTGGCAAATGTTTTTCGTGTAAACATATTTTCCCTTAACATTCCCTTACTATTATAGATATCTATATGATAGGAATAACATGCAAGCAAAACCACCAGTTTAAAACAAATTTAGTGAAATTAATAAATCATTTCAATAACCTGATTTTTATTCCTTTTATTCATCTAGTTTAGGTCTTCAACTCCCAGTTATAGTATGTTTAAAATTGTTGCCTCTCTCCGTTACACAGAGAGGATCCAGAATTCACATTTTCATGTGCTGAGATACTGGGTGCAGCCCAAATTTTGAAAATGCAACCGTGGTTGACAGGAGGGTTGAGAAAGACAACGGCTTCAGCGTCCCGCCTTCTCCAGGGCTTGCAGCCCGCAACCCACTGACCACAGCGCACAGTTAAATTGCCGCTGCCTTCAAGAATGTATGAGGTCCAGCACAGGTCCGCGCACGCCCTCCGTCATCCGTTAGAAAAGAAACCCGGATGTGCAGTGGTCCGGGTGGGGGTGGTGGAGGTGCGGTCCCCTACCCATGAGGCAGCGCGCTTAGCTATATACCTCCGCCGTAGGCTGAGCCGTTCATTCCACGCCTGGAGTCGCCGAGGCTGCTGCTTTTCTTTGGCCGCCGCTCGGTGTTTCCGGGCTCCTCCTCTTTCTCCTCCTCCTTCGAGTCCCAGTTGGGCCGACCCGTTGTGTTCGCGGTAAGTATCCCTACACCCGCCTGCGCCTCGGGGAAGCTGGTGGAGGCTCTCGCTCGTAGTTGTGACCGCCTTGCCCTGAGGGCAGCAACGGGGGCCTAGCGGTGAGGAAAGCGGATTTTGAGGGTCTGTATTCTGGCGAAAGCCGCCTGGATCGCCCAGGGCGCGGGGGAGGGGACGACGAGGTGGCGCGGTGCCGGGTGGGCCACCATCTTGCGCCATCCCTGACGGGGGAGGGATCTAAGGAAGGTAACTCGGCGGCAGGGTTTGGCGGGCAGCTCAGGCCGTGGTCGCGCGGGCTGGCGCCACTGCCCCCTCATCTCTTGGGGCCTGTGCATCTGTCCCATGACAGGTTTTGTCTCTTCTTTTTAGAGGCAACTCCCTTTGGTCGTTTATACTTTTGATGTCGATGTTTGCCGACACCCGCCTATCCCCAAGTCTCTAAAGTCGTAGGCAAAGAAACCAGAGAAGGTTCCGAACTTTCAGGCTTCAGGGGCCTTTGGGCCCGTAGTTCAGGTCCAGGTTCCCCCCACCCGGGTTACTGGTCGTGGAGTGCTCACATCCTGTTCTTGCCAAAGGGACTTCGCTCCTCCGTTATAAAAATCGTGCTCCATTCCGTTATTGTCTAGAGGAGAAGAGCCTTGAGAAGAAACGTGGAGTTCGATATACAGTTTTTTTAACAGTGAGCTTTGCAGGTTTTACTTATGGGAAAAAAAAATCTCGTTCTCAGGCTTTATCCTTCTCTAGACACGGTGGGAGTTCCTCTTGACTTATCTCAAGTTTTAATGCTTTTATTAAGGAGAAATCAGAATAAAATGTCAAGTATACCAGCTTCTGGAAGCACGGGAGATTTTCATCCAAGGGATTCTCTTTGTTTGCAAAGATTTTTTACTTGTTCTTTTTGAATATGTGGACTTAAATTTTGCCTTTTGTTTTCAGTTTTGGTCTGTGAATTTTAATGTCTTCTAGTGCCATTAAATATAAAATTGAAACCAAGAAATAGAGTTTTAAACAACAAAAGTCTCCTCTTTGCATTCGTGAGATGTCCAGCTTTGGGGGTTATCGTGAAAACTCAAACTGTCTCCTTAAGGATAAATTTTGCAGATCCTATGAAGGCACTGGTTTGCTTTATTAAGTTACGGCTCTATGCCTTTGATGTTTTAACATTGGTACAAATTCCACTATAATTGTATTTTACATTTGTGTATTTCATTGATTATTACCCGTTTTGAGGTGGAATGTGGGGTGTTGATAGAACTGTGTGAAAGGTGAGGAAACAGCCTCAAGGAGATTTTACCAAAGTCATAAATGGGTAGGAATTGATAGAACCTGTTCTTAAACCTAGATCTTCTAAGTCCTCAGCCAGTGTTTAATTTACTATATTATGCCCCACTTTTCACGGGACTGAGGTGGTTAAGGAGAATAAACAAGGAGGCTCACCCCACAAAAACAGAAGAAATATTTTTCAATTCCCCTTTCCTTCATATTTTTATTTTTTAATACTTCACATCTTTTCACCTTTTTAGTATTTAAACAATATTATTGTTTCCAAGCATGTTGAAAAGTTAAACAATAGCACATTGGAAAAAGTTTTGATGTTGAAGGGCTCCAAATTTCAGCTTCCCCTGTTCAACCTATTTTCTTTCCTCAGTTGTTTTCTAGTCCAATCCAATTTCTTCAGCCCAATGTTTTACTACTTAGCATCAGCGTTTTTAGTTGAAGAAGTGGATGAGGGGATAAGGATATATAATTCTGTACCTCTTCTTCTCTCCCATTTGTTCTTTTTATTCAAGAGGACATTTAGAACCATAGAAAGTGGAGGGATCAAGGAAAAAGGACTCATGGACATGGACAACAGTGTGGTGATTGCAGGGGGGAGGGGAGTATAAGGGGGATAAAAGTAATGGAAAAGAATACAATAAAATGTTTTTAAAAGAACCATACCAAAATATTTTTGTTGCTCTTGCTATACTAATAGGAGAGGGGAAATACCTAAACAAATAGCAATTTTTGTAAATAAAAGAAATCTGTAGTTTTAGTAACAGATTAGATATTGAAAATATATATTAAAATATTTTGTTATTTCAAAACTAAGAAGATCAGAAATATGTATGACCTATTCACTAATTAAATGTATAACTCTGAATATTTTTTCTGTCTTCCTACTTCAAGAAGGATTTAAAAATATTTGGTTTTCAGTAAGGTTATTTTAAATAATGACTCAAGAAGACTTGGTTTGCTCAGTAATGGTATCAAAATGTGTGTCTATATTTTTTTATTCATTTTCTGCAAAGCAGTTTTCATTTAAGGAGTGTTTTTATTCACTCTGAATATGTCAGGAAAAATAGTCATCACTATGTACGACCTGGGTCCAATGGAACTTTTTACATTATTTTTTGTATTTCAAGTCATTTTATAAATAACTTACATAACAATCACAAAATAGGGAAACCAGCTTTATTAAATATTTAATAAGAATTTATGCATGGTGTACTCCTTTGTATATAGTTAGAAAAAATAAAAGATATATTTCACAAGCTGATTTAGGAGTCTAATTGTCTTTTATTAAGACAGATATTAAAGACACTTGCAAAAATGTAAACCAGTGCCACACTTATCATTAAATTTTTTGTTTAGAAAAAATTTTTTCATTAAAACTATATATGAACATGTATTGGGCTTATCCATGCTTTAAATTAATAAATATTAATTTTTTAAGTTTTCTTTCTTTTGAGTTTTAAAAATTGTTGTTCAATTACACTTGTCCCCATTTTTCCATATTACTCTCCCCTGCCCTACCAAACCCCCACCTCCCACATTCAATCCTGCCACCCTTTTTCTTTGTCCTTGTCCTTGTCCTTGTCCATGGGTCCTTTATACTTGTTCTTTGAATTGACCCTTCCCCTTTTTTTCCATTATAACCCTCCTCCTTCCCCTCTGGTCACTGTCAGTTCTTTATTTTCATGTCTTTCATTCTATATTGCTCCCTTGTCTGTTTGGTGATTAGGTTCCACTTATAGGGGAGATCATATGGTATTTGTCTTTCACGGCCTGGCTTATTTCACTCAGCATAATACTCTCCATTTCCAGTCATGCTATCAGTAAAGAATGGGAGTTTTTTCTTTCTGCTACATAGTACTCCATTCTATAAAATACCAGTTGTTGATCCACTCATTTACTGATGGGCACCTAGGCTTTTCCAGCACTTGGCTATTGCAGATAACACCATGATGAACATTGGGGTGCATAGCTTCTTTTGAATTGGTGTTTCAGGATTCTTAGGGTATAATCCTAGCAATAGAATTGCCAGGTCAAAATTCAGTTCCATTTTTTGGGTTTTTTTTTGTTTGTTTGTTTGTTTGTTTTTAGGAAATCCATAGTGTTTCCCACTGTGGCTGCCCAGTCTGCATTCCCACCACCAGTGCACTAGGGTTCCCTTTTCTCCACAACCTCACCAGCATTTGTTGATTGCTGGTTTGTTTATGACAGTCATTCTGACAGATATGAAGTGGTACCTTATTGAGGTTTTTTTTTTAAATCTTTTTAAAAAGATTTTATTTATTTATTTTTAGACAGAGGGAAAGGGTGGGAGAACGAAAGGGAGAGAAACATCAATGTGTGGTTGCCTCTCATGGGCTCCCTATTGGGGAGGTGGCCTGCAACCCAGGCCTGTGCCCTAGGCTGGGAACCAAACCAGCGACCCTTTGGTTCACAGGCCAGTGCTCAATCCACTGAGCCATACCAGCCAGAGCCATCATTGAGTTTTAATTTGCAGCTCTCTGATGGCTAGTGGTGTTGAACATCCTTTCATATGTCTCTGAGCCCTTGGTCTTTCTTGGAGAAGTGTCTCTTCAGGACCTTTGCCCATTTTTTAATTGGATTGTTTGTATTCCTGGAGTGGAGTTGTGTGAGTTGATTATATATTTTGGAGATCAAACCCTTGTCCAAGGTGTCATTGGCAAATATATATTCCCATGTGGTTGATTCCCTTTTCATTTTGCAGATGTATTCTTTAGCCATGCAGAAGCTTTTTATTTTGATGAAGTCCTATTTGTTTATTCTTTCCTTTATGTCCCTTGCTCTGTGGAACATATCAGTGAAATATTGCTGCATGGAATATCTGAAATTTTCCTGCCTGTGTTCTTCTCTAGGACTTTATGGTGTCACAACTTATACTTAAGTCTTTTATCCACCATGAGTTTATTTTTGTGAATGGTGTAAGTTGGTGGTCAAGTTTCATTGTTTTGCATGTGGCTCTCGAGATCTCCCAACACTATTTGTTGAAGAGACTATTTTTTATTCCATCTTATGCTCCTACCCCTTTGTCAAATATTAATTGACCATAAGGATGTGTGTTTATTTCTGGGCAATCAATTCTGTTCCATTGATCTATATGTTTGTTGTTATGCCAGTACCAGACTGTTTTGATAACAATGGCCTTATAATATACTTTAATGTCTTGTGATACTTTGAGGTATTGTGATCCCTCCTACTTTGTTTTTTCTCAAAATTGCTGAGACTATACAAGGTCATTTATGATTCCATATAAATTTTGAAATATTTGTTCCAGATCTGCAAAATATGTCATTGGTATTTTAATAGGGATTGTGTTGAATGTATAAATTGCTTTAGGTAGTATGGACATTTTGATAATGTTAATTCTCCTAATGTATGGACATGGTATATGCTTCCATTTATTTGTGTCTTCCCTTTTTTAAGACAAAAACATACTAATTATTTTTTTTAATTTTTTAATTAATTTTATTTAGTTTTTTTTCTTTTTTAAAATTTTTTAAAATTAATTTTATTTAGTTATTTTTCAAGTACAGTTTTTTGTCTATTTCTCCCATCCCAGCCTCCCCTGCCCCTTGCTCCCCACCTCCCTCCCATTCCACCCCTCTTAGTTCTTATCCCTGTGTCCTTCCTGTTTGTTCCTCCAAATCCCTCCCCCTTTTTCCCCTTAACTTCCCTTCCTTCTCCCCTCTGGTCAATGTCCCCTTGTT